CGGGGCCACGAAGGACAGCGAGGGGGCCACGAAAGAGTGCAACGGGGCCACGAAGGGCTGCAACGAAGCCAAGAAGGGCAGGAAGGGGGGCACAAAAGGTTGCAACGGGCCACGAAGGGCTGCAACGGCGCCACGAAGGGCAGCGAGGGGGCCGCGAAGGGCGACAGCGGGACCACGACGCGCATCCATATGGGGCCACGACGGGCGCGAGCGAGCGGGGGCCACGAAGGGCTGCAACGGGTCCACGAAGGACAGCGAGGGGGCCACGAAAGGGTGCAACGGGGCCACGAAGGGCTGCAAGGAAGCCAAGAAGGGCAGGAAGGGGGCCACAAAAGGTTGCAACGGGCCACGAAGGGCAGCGAGGGGGCCACGAGGGGCAGCGAGGGGGCCACGAGCAACGGGGCCACGAAGGGCAGCGAGGGGGCCACGAAGGGCTGCAATGGGGCCACGAAGGGCAGCGAGGGGGCCACGAAGGGTTGCAACGGGTCCACGAAGGGCAGCGAGGCGGCCACGAAGGGCTGCGACGGGGCCACGAGAGGCAGCGAGATCCCGACCCCTAAGGGTCGTAACCGTGAGCGCGACACCTGGGCGCCTGGGTGTCGGGAGCGCGGCGCTTGAGTAAATTGCGAGGAGGTCCAACGCAATAGCGCGATTCTAGAGTAAATTGCAAACAAGTGTCCAGCGAGAGCGCGACTCCAGAGCGCCGGGAGAGCAATCCCTGAATAACTTGCAAGGAAGTCCCAAGCGAGAGCGCGATTCTTGCGTGAAATGCAAGGAAGTCTTAAGCGGGAGCGGGGGTCCTGGCTAAACTGTAAGGAAGTATCCGGCGGGAACCGTTGCTGTTGTTGTAGCTCGGGGCCAACAGAGCAGTTTGAGCCGAGTGACGTCCCTGTTAAAAAAGGGTGCGAGGCCCGGTGAAAGCATTTTTGTTTAAGAAAAAAAGGTCACCAGAGGGGGACACTGAGTATTCGCCGTAGTGAAAGTTCAACAACAACAACAACAACAACAACAACAGCAACAACAACAACAACAGCAGCAGCAACAGCAACAGCAACAGCAACAATAACAAGTGCAACACGCATTTTAAGACCGTTCTCTCTTATCTGCTCGCGTGCCAATCGGCACGTTATCCCAAACCCTCGATAACCGCCCATTTCGTCGTGGATCATTCCCATGTGGGGGTATACATGTCTTAGCTGTAATGTTTATGTCCTGCATCTCCTAAGGCAGGGGAAGAGAGGACGGGTGGAAGGCAGGGACACATCGGAGGGGGGAGGAGGATGAAACACGAGAAAGTAGAGCAGGAGGGGGGCTGCGAGCAGAAACCAGGTGGCAGAACCAGGCGAGCAGATCGGGCGGGTAGGTCGGCCCTAACAGGCGGGTCGGGAAAGCAAGCCCAGGCGGCCAGGTCAAGGAGATCTCAAACGACAGCGCGATTGCCAAATTACATCGTGAGGAAATCCAGAGCGAGAGCGTGACTTCTGAGTGTCGAGGGCGCGGCGTGTGAATAAATTGTGAGAGCGCGATTTGGGAATAATTTGTGAGGAAGCATTCGGCGGGAACCGTTGCTTTTGTAAAGCGGATGCCATGGGGCGAGTTTGGTGGCACCCAGCTTTCCCTTGCAAACAAAAACAGGGGGCGAGCCCCGGGAGAAGCATTTTAATTAACATATATAACAATGGTTACCGCGCAGGGGGGGGATCAACAATATTTCTCATTTAGAAACTCGAACTCAACAACAGCAACAACAACACCAACGACAACAATCACGACCACAACCATAACCGCAACAAAAACACTATTTCTAATACTGTTCGATCTGATCTGCTCGCGTGCCAGTCGACACGTACATATCAAAGTCTCGATGCCCACCCTCTTCGTCCTCGACCGTACCCCTTTAGGGGTATATCTTTCGGACCTGCAACGTGTGCAGCACCAGAGGCGGGGGAAGAGAGGATGGATGGACGGAAGGGACAGGGGCAAACAGGTGGCTGAAGTCTCGAGCGATAGCGCGATTCCCGAATGTATCGGGGGAAATATATAGCGAGAGCGTGATTCTTGAGTGTCGGGAGCGCGGCGTTTAAATACATTGCAAGGAAGGCCCACGCGAGAGGAGATTCTTGCATTGTGAGGAAGACCTGCGCGAGAGCGTCATTTGAGAATCCACGCTGAGGAAGTATTCGGCGGGAGCCGATGTTGTTGTAAAACGGGTGCCCGGTGCATAGCTTTGTGACACCTCACTTTCCTTGTAAAAAACACGAACGAGCACCGGGAGAAGCACTTGACTTGAAAACATACAACGGTTACCGGGCAGGGGGGATCAACAATAATTTGTCTTTGGGCATGAGATTTCACAACCACATCATCAACAACAATCATTTGAGACTGTTCGCTCCGACCTGCCCGCGTGCCATTCAACACGTATATTCCAAGCCCTCGGTACCCGCCCTCTTCGTCGTCGATCGTACCCCCTTGATGGTATGTTTTCCTTACCTGCCACGTGCATGTAGCGCAGCGTCTAGAACACGGAAAGAGAGGACGGATGGAAGGATCAGGGAGGAAGATGGAGCACGAGAGAAATTGGCAAAAGGGGGGCTAGGAACAGAAACCTCGTGGCATATCCAGACAGGCAGGTCGGGCGGGCAAGGCGGGCCCATGCGGCCAGGTCGAGCAGGCGGGTTGTTGAAGCGTGAGTTCTGCATGAATCGCCAGGTAGTCCCGAGCGATATCGCGATCCCCGAGTAAATCGCGAGACAGGCCAAAGCAAGAGCGTGATTCCTGAGTTTCCAGGGCGCGGCAGTTGAATACATTGTTAGGACGCTCCACGCCAGAGCGCGATTCTTGCATATACTGCGAGGAAGCCCCGTGCGAGAGCGCGAGTTTGGCATACATTGTGTGGAATTGTAGTTCGGGGCCCGAACAGCGCAGTTCGAGCACGAAGCTTTTCCCTGATAGAAAATTGGGTGCGAGCCCCGAAAGGGGCTCTTCAAATGAAAACACACGACGTGCACCTGTGTGGGGATCAACCGTATCTGTTGTTTCAAGAATGAGAGTTCGACGCAACAGCCATCCGCACCGCGGAACCCCACTCCAGCCACACGCCCAGGGACAGTGGATGACCCTTCGGCCCCCTCCCTCTGATGAAACTCCACGCGCTTGCGAGCAACTGGCCCTGGCGAGGCCCGCACTTCTTTTTGTCCGAGTCTCCGGCTGGAGTTTCGGCCACGTTCGCAGGACAGCCTTGCGACGAACCTGAATCGTGTACAGTATCGCTGTCCGCTCCCATCTCCTGCTTCTCTCTTTTTTTGTTGGGGGGGGAAAAAAGCACGGGTGAAAGAGCGCCTGCAGCGCCAAAAGCCCAGCCCTGATTGCAGAGGCATCCGCGTGCTGAAGATGGCCGCCTCGAAGAGGCCTTATTGAGCCGCGCGCGCCGCCGGCCGCTCTCCCCCCCCTTTTTTTTTCTCTCGCAAAACAGGACCTCCTCCTCCTCCTCCTCCTCCTCCTCCTCCTCCTCCTCCTCCTCCTCCTCCTCCTCCTCCCCCTTCTCCTCCTCCTCCTCCTCCTCCTCCTCCTCCTCCTCCTCCTCCTCCTCCTCCCCCTCCTCCCCCTCCTCCTCCTCCTTCCTGCTCCTCCTCCTCCTGCTCCTCCTCCTCCTCCTCCTCCTCATCTGGAGGCGAAGGAGTATGAGAAGGAGGATGAGGAGCAGGAGGAGGAGGACGATACCGAGTAGGAGGGAGGGACGATGCGGGCGAGGGATCAGCGTCAGGCGGATGAGGTAGGAGGGGGAGGGAGGGGAGGATCAGGAGGAGGAGGAGGAGGAGGAGGAGAAGGGAAACAGAGGAAGAGGAGACAGAGAAGTGAATAGGAGTAGGAGGAGAGCAGGAGCAGCAGCAGGAGGAGGAAGACGCGATCGAATCAACGATCTCCTCTAAGAATGAATGGAGATTCCCGCCCAGACGGTCGAGGCGGTCGAGCCGACCAAGGCGGAATGTGAGGGAGGATATTGATGGTGATCGGTCGAGATGCCTCGGCCGACTGAAAGACTGACAGGGATCGATCGGTCGAGATCGATCGGTCGATCGCGATGCCCGATCGGTGTGTCGGTCGCATCGGTCAGCGGGTAGAGAGACCGGGATCGAGCGGCACTTGCCGATTGGGGCCTGCGGTGCGTCGCAGGCGCGCGTGCAGTCGGGGCCCTGAAGAAGGAACCCTTCTCGTTGGGGAGGGGCTCCGTGTTCCCTGATGGTTTCACAGCTTGCCTCAGGTTTTCCTTATGTTTCCGATCGGAAATCGAAGGTTACTCTTGATTTCGTAATAAAGGGAGGGGGGTCTCATTTCGGGGGGGGGTCTCTTCCAGACTATCTTGGAGGGCCTGGGGGGGTCTGGGGACGATGTCTTGGAGGGTTCTCCCACGAGGGGGGGTCTGAAATGGCTTGTCTTGGAGGGTCCAGACCCCCTCCCTTGTATTACGAAATCTGGAGTAACTTATGGTAAAAAAGGGGCCTCGTTCCTCATTTAGGGTCCCTTAGGTCAACGCCCCGACTGTACGCGTCACACTGGTCCTTCGCTATAGAGCGACCTCTTGCGTGGGCCCGCGGGCCCCCGCCTGCGCGCTTGGATCTGCATCCCCCCCCCCGTGGCCCCCTATGAAGCCGCGTACCAAAGGCCGCCCTCGGCTGGGGTCCCTCGTGCGCGCAGCCCCGTCCTACCCTCGGGTCGGACGTGCCGGGAGGCGCCGCGAAAGCCAGTTGTTCGAGTCGACTCGCTCGTCCCCCCCCTTGTACCAGCCCTCCCGTTCGTCGTCGTCCTCCCCCCTGTTCCTCGTCGTCCTCTTCCTCCCCCTGCTCCTCCTCCTCCTCTTCCCTCCGCCTCCTGCCCCCTCCTTCCTGCCTCGTCATCCTCCTCCTTCCTGCTCCTTCTCCTTCCTGCTCCTCCTCCTCCTCCTCTTCCCTCCGCCTCTTCCCTCCCTCCGCCTCCTCCTCCCCGGCCGACCCGTGCAGGAGCGGAGCCCCATCTCGCGGGGCGCGCTCGCCCGTGGCGCGCACGCCTCGGCGGGGCACCTCGGGCGCAGGAGCTCGGCGGCTCGGCGCCCGTTGCGTCGCTGCCGCGTTTCGTCGATGCCCGCGCCTGTTCCCAGCAGGCGTTCGGTTGTTCGTTCTCTCGTGCTCTCCCTTCTCTCTCTCTCTCTCTCTCTCTCTCTCCCTCTCTCTCTTATTATCTCCCTGTCTCCCTCTTTCTCGTTCGTTCGTTCTCTCTCTCTCTCTCTCTCTTTCTCTCCCTCTTTCGTGATCTTGTGTTTGGTGTTTGATCTCTCTATCTCTCTCTCTTTCTCTATGTGTTGCTACCCCTCTCTCTCTTTATCTCTCGTTTCTTATGTAGATGCCTGCATGCAGACATACACGTGTAGGCATACAACTGTGAAATTGTGTGTATACATCCATGTGTCTGTGCTTTAACTGTTACATGTTCGTGCCTCCATCAATGGTTGCACCTAGGGGCTCTGCTTTCTTTTCTGAGGACTTGGGCCTCATTGTTGGTCTGGCGGCTATGTTGTTACCGTCGCCACCTTGTTGCCGCCCGTCGTCTGGGTCTGATTGTCGGTCTGGCGGCTGTGTCGTCGCCGTCGCCACCCCGTCGCCCCCTCGTCGCCGCCCGCCGTCTGGGCCTAACTGTCGGTCTGGCAGCTATCGCGTCGCCGTCGCCACCCCGTCGCCGCCGTGCCGCGGCCTCTCATGATTGCACGACAACGGTGGCAACACATAGATCGCACCGCATAGATTGCAGCACAGATTTCAACACATTGATGGCACCGCAGAGATTGCACCACAGATATTGGTCAACACATGTTGGACACCACATGCTGCACAATATAGATTGAACCGCGTATATGACAACACCCAGATCGCGCAACGGGTTTCGCACAACCTATTGTTTTACATATGCATATGTGTGTGCTGCACAACAGATGTCGCACCACAGAAACTCTCCTTTTCTAAAAATGTATTCGGATCTACCTTCCCGCCCCCCCCTCCACGGACTTCACACTACACCTTTGTTGGTTTTGTTTTTCGTGTAGTATTTCGCAGACTCGCCCATCCAAATATGAACCCATACCATCCCAGGCAGTGCCTTACCGACCCCCCTCGTCCTCCGCAACAAACACTTATGCGCGCACATTCCTTTATCAAAAATGATCAGCTTTCCAAGAATCGCAATCAACAAATGAGACGAAGGGCACACGCGCGCGTTGTCGCGCGCACATGCCAGAATCCTTCAAAAACCGTAGGGTCCGTAAGGACGTCAATATCGATTGTCCAGAAATAATAATAAAAAAAACAACACAATGGCTTTGAATCCAGATTTTGTGATTAAGAACTGTTTTCGCGCTCTTCCGAACCTTTTAAGAAAACCATCGGGTTCCAACATATCCATCAAATGTTCCCATCGCGCGCGCATGTCGAAATCGTTCGAACGCCCTTGCGCGCGTGTTGTCGCAAGAACCCCGTGCAACAAATTGGACGAAGTGCGCACGCGCGCGTCGTCGCTCGCGCACGCCGGAATCATTCAACAACCTCAGGTTCCGTAGCCGTCAGAAATTCAAAACCGAGCTTCTCGAAAACACATAAGACTCACATGGTTTTGCAACATCAAGTCCGAATAAGGTCTGTACGCTTTTGCGAATTCTGAAGACAACCATCGTTTTTTCCAACAGCGACATAACATTCAACCAGACGGGCCCCTCGCGCCGCGTGCCGATATCATTCGAATTCCCTTGTGCGCATGCTGGGGGAGGGGCACGATCCCTGTCAAATAATATAACGCGGGCCACTCGCGCGCGTCGCGTTCATGCCGAGCTCATTCCAAATTTTCTCATCACCGACGCGTGGACATCGTCATCGTCATCGTCGTCACCAGCATCGCTACTATCATAATCGTGTCTGCCGTTGTCGACGTCGCCATGATACCGCGCCCACCCATGTCACCGACTCGCACTGAAGTGTCAGCTGGGAGGCGCTCCGCGGTCAGCGCCACCGCGGCCGCGTCAGTCGCGCCAGACAAATTGGCTGCTCTGCGCGCGAGCCTGCGCGCGCTAGCGCGGCCGCAGAGATGCACAAGCCAACACCAAGTACTTGTCGCAGTCGCCGCCGCATGGGCTTTGCAAACCGATTTGCGGGTGAGTGGGTGTGATGACTGCGCGAGCTTTGGAATTGACGGCTCCAAGGTTTAAAGATTCATTTTTCTTTCTAAAAACAGAATAAGATCACCCCCCCCCAGAGTTATCACTCCCCCTTTCGGGTATGTAGATCATATATAATTCTGACCACATGACCATCCTAAGTATGAAATCGCACTGTCAAATGCCAACCGGTATCCCCCCCCCGAGGGTCCCATGTAAAAAACACTATGCGGTGACATTGTTTGTTCTAACATAGCGCTTTTTTCACGAATCCCTTGCAAAAAAATGGGACGAAGTGCGCACGCGCGCGTCGTCGCGCGCGCATGCCGAAATCCTTCAAAAACCTTCGGTGCCGGAAGGATTTCGCAATCGAGTTTCCAAAAACACATACAAACACATAAGGCTTCGCAACACTGATTTGCTAAAAAAACTTCCGCGCGAGCTCCTGCGAAATCTAAAAAAAAACCATGGTTTTTCAAGATTTTCACAAAATGCTACCAAACCGGCTTCGCGCGCGCATGTCGAAATCTGTCGAACGCCCTTGCGCGTGTGCCGTCGCGAGAATCCTCTTCAAAAAATGGGACGAAGTGCAGACGCGCGCGTCGTCGCGGGCGTATGCCGAAAACCTTCAACACCCATCGGTTCCGGAACGGATTTCAAAATCGTGTGTCCATGAAACCAACAACCTCCCAAGGTTTCGCAACACGGATTTTCAACAAAAGCGTGCGCGCGCGCTCGCTTTTGCGTCGTCGTCGTCGTCGTCGCCGTCGTCGCCGTCCTCCCTCCTCCCGCGTCGTCGTCGTCGTCGTCGCCTACGTCGTCCTCTGTTTTTCCTCGTGTTCGTCGTCGTCGTCCTCTTTGGCTTCGTGGCCGTTTCCGTCGTCGTTGTCGCCGTGGTCGTCCTTCCTCCTCCCTCGTCGTCGTCGTCGTCCGTCGTCGGCGTCTCGTCGTCGTCCCTCCTATTTCGTCGCCGTCGTCGTCCTCGTCGTTGTCGTCGTCGTCCTCCCTCCTCCCTCGTCGTTGTCGTCGTCGGCGTCGCCGTCCTTCCTCCTTCTTCGTCGTTCGCGTCGTCGCCGTCCTCCCTCCTCCCTCGTCGTTGTCGTCGTTGTCGTCGTTGTCGCCGTTGTCGTCCTTCCTCCTCCCTCGTCGTCGCCTTCGTTGGCGTCGTTGTCGTCGTCTTCGTCGGCGTCGGCGTCGTTGTCGTCGTCGAAGTCGTCGGAGACGTCGTCGGTGTCGTCGTAGTCGTTGTCGTCGGGGTCGTCGTAGTCGGTCTTGAGAGGTTTTGCAAACCAAGTTGCGGGTGGGTGGGTGGGATGTTTGCACGAGCAGTGGAGATGACGACTTCAAGTTCAGCAGAGTGGATTCTCTCTTCCAAAAAGAGAATAGATTCTACCCCCCCGGACTTAACGCTTCCCCTTGGGATGGGATGGTAGAATGTCATGTATATATATATATATATATTCTGCACACTCGTCCATCCTAAGTATGAAATCGTATCATCCCAGCCAACCGGTATCCCCCCCCTGAGGTTCCTTGGTAAAAAAAACTATGCGGTGTCATTTTTTGTTCCAACATAACACTGTTTCGCGAATCCCTTGCAACAAATGGGACGAAGTGCACACGCGCGCGTCGTCGCGCGCGCATGCCGAAATCCTTCAAAAATATTCGGTGCCGGAAGGATTTCGCAATCGAGTTTCCAAACAACATATAAAAACACAGGGTTTCGCAACACAGAGTTGCTAAAAAAGCTTCCGCGCGAGCTCTTGCGAAATTTTTAAAAAAAAAACATGGGTGTTTCAAGATTTTCACAAAATGCTACCAAACGAGCGTCGCGCGCGCTCATGTCGAAATCTGTCGAAAGCCCTTGCGCGTGTGCCGTCGCGAGAACCCTCTGCAAAAAATGGGACGAAGTGCAGACGCGCGCGTCGTCGCGCGCGTACGCCGAAATCCTTCAACACCGATCGGTTTCGGATGGATTTCGAAATCGCGCGTCCAAAAAACCTACAAAAACCAAAGGTTTCGCAACACGGAGTTTCAACAAAAGCGTGCGCGCGTGCGCTCTTGCGTAGTCGTCGTCGTCGTCGTCGCCGTCCTCCTTCCTCCCGCGTCGTCGTCGTCGTCGTCGCCTACGTCGTCCTCTGTCTTTCCTCGTGTTCGTCGTCGTCGTCCTCTTTGGCGTCGTGGTAGTTTCCGTCGTCGTTGTCGCCGTTGTCGTCCTTCCTCCTTCTCCCTCGTCGTCGTCGTCGTCTTCGTCCGTCGTCGGCGTCTCGTCGTCGTCCCTCCTATTTCGTCGCTGTCGTCGTCGTCGTCCTCGTCGTTGTCGTCGTCGTCGTTTTCCCTCCTCCTTTGTCGTTGCCGTCGTCGGCGTCGCCGTCCTTCCTCCTTCGTTGTCGTTCGCGTCGTCGCCGTCCTCCCTCCTCCCTCGTCGTTGTCGTTGTCGCCGTCGTCGTCCTCCCTCCTAACTCGTCGTCGTCGTCGTCGTCGTCTTCGTTAGTGACGTCGTCGTCGTCCTCCCTCCTTCCTCGTTGTCTTCGTTGGCGACGTCGTCGTCGGCGTCGGCGTCGGCGTCGTTGTCGTCTTCGTCGTCGTCGACGTCGGCGTCGTCGTCGTCGCCGCCGTCGTCGTCGTCGTCGTCGGCGTCGGCGTCGTTGACGTCGTTGTCGTCGGTGTCGTCGTTATCGTCGTCGTCGGCGTCGTTATCGTCGTCGTCGTTGTCATCGTCGTCGTCGTCGGCGTCGGTGTCGTCGTCGTCGTCGGTGTCGTCGTCGTCGTCGTCGTTGTCGGCGTCGTCGAAGTCGTTGGAGACGTCGTCGGTGTCGTCGTAGTCGTTGTCGGCGCCGTCGTCATCGTCGTTGTCGCTGTCGTCGTCGGCGTCGCTGTTGTTGCCAAGTGCC